AGGCCAAAAATCCCCAACATCCTCTGCCCCTGAAGTTCCAGTCATACACAATGTGAATAACATCAGAAATGGCCTGAGTTTCCCCAGCTTCCCAGTGGGAAAGGGAAAAGAAAATGGAGAACTGTAGAATATGAGAGGCAAGGACCTCAGCACATTTGTGTCATCAATGATCACAGCAGTTTATCCACTCATCGCATGTGGGAGGTTTTGGATATTTTGCTGCCCGGAGCACCATTTCCTTTGATTGTATGATACAACATGTGCCTGGTTTTTCTACTTATTTTTTAGAAAGAATAAGTTAAACGTCATTTCAATCAGGATGGCAGAAAACTTATTTTCCTGTTAAATTATTTATCTAATCAATATATAAAAAGATATAATAGAACCATAGAATAGCCTAAGCTGGAAGGGACCTTAGAGATCATTTTAATCCAGCCTCCCTGTGGCCAGGGATGCCACCTCTCGACTAGATCAGGCAACATATGGGGACCGAACAGGAATCAAACCTGTGACCTCAGCGTTGTTAGTGCCACGCTCAGCTGACTGAGCTAACCAGCCCCCATAATAAGAATTAGAGAAGCACAGAAACATGCCACATCTGCAGAGTCTTTTTTTGGCTTAGTTTTTCAAGTTGAAGGAAATAAGTGTCACAGCTAAATATTTCTGCCTATTTCCTAAATACTTGCTCTAGACATTCTTGAATTTTATGTTATCTTTTATTTCTGTATTCCTATCAGCCTCATACAAGGAAATGTCATTTATTCTGCTTTGCTCAAAAAAAGCAAAAAGGAAGATTAGAGATTTAAAATATCATTAGAAATTAACTGCAAATTCGCATTTAACGCAGTCATTAAATAAATATTAATGCACTTTCTTATGATCCTTTTAATGGAATCTGTGCACACAGCAAATTACTTGCATAAATGACAACCATAAATCTCCTCAGTTTTCTTTTAGATACATAAAGCATGGTTTTGCTCCAAAACGATTGCCTATTGACTTTCAAATGTTTTCTGTAAAGTAGCCAAATTCAATAATATCTATCCTCTGCCCAATTTTCTCTCTGATTTAATGAAAAAAACCCCCATATTTAATGGACTTAATATTGACTAAGTGAATCAACGCTACTGACATTTTAGACTAGAATTTAGAAAAGCAAAGCACCACTGAGCCTAACTAAAAAATCACCAGAACAGAATATCTGTCATGTCAATACTCATGCTTTGAAATACACCTACAATTAATTTTGCTTAGAAGTTAAGACTGCTCTTCTAAACAGTTAAATACAGGACATGATATTTTACCAACATATAGAAGTACCATTTTAACTCACTTATTTTAATTCTATCCCAGAACAGAGAATACGAGTTGAAGTTAAACATTTTAATTCAAATAACTTCAAATTACATATTACTACTTTGAAAATGGAAATACAAAAAGAGAATACCTGACAAATTCATACTTCTTCAGCAACTGATACTGTGAGATTTCATGGCCTATTAAACCAGGAACCTATTCAAGACTAGTTAGCTTTTATTGGTCATTCAATGTTTTATTATTAAAGATCTAGAAGGCCCTGAAATCTTATCTACCAGAAAGACTCACATTACCAGAGCAGTTCAAATTCATTAGTTACACAGTGTGAAACAAACTGTTCAAATGCTTAGAGAATTAGTTGAACCAGGTTTGAACACATTGCAGAGGTCTCCGATGGAGGGGGAAAAATGGAAGTAGATACGCAAAGAAAAAGAAATTGCAGCTGTACGTTACTACATAGTGGAATATCAAAGCACATTGTAATATTAACAGTGGTAACAAAACCTAAGCCTGGATAAATTTGTCACAGATTTTTATTAGAATAAAAACAATACACACGGGATTAGAGAACCAGGCACGTAGTTTTTGAAGGAAAGGATTCTTTCTGTTTATGACAAAAATAATTCTTCCAAAAGCCAATATGAATAATATTACTATACAGACTAACAGCACACACAGAATCCCTTTGTTTTGGATCATGTGCTAATTCATCCAGTTGTGTTCAGGTTTTATACCATCTGCACCTACAGTCCACGCCCACACCCAACTGCCTGACAAGGAAATCACTTGTGCATTGGTAAAGCAATGTTCTAAGTTCTGTCCTTCAACAAATATCTATCCACTATGTTTTAAAATACAGCAACAATTCCTGAGCATGAATTTTCTCACCTTCACAGACAGGGATGCCTTTTAAAGTTCCTTTGATGACTTTTATTTCATATCTTTTTTTCAAAAACACATTGAGTTTGCCTTTAAATCAGGGATGGCATCTTTTATTTCATTTTAATGGGAAATACAGGAAAAGGTTTATTACACAGTAGAAAGGATTATTTCTCTATAACAAGCTTTGAGAAGCTGCTAGTGCATCATATATAAAGTTATTAAAACTAAATATTGTACCTGCTCAGCAGCTATATTTCAGACCTGATCAGAATTAAATTATCCATTTCTCATAATTACTTCAAGCTTTAGCACACATTTATGAATCACGTCCCACACAATGATTAAATCTTAAATAAAATTAATAAGAAATAGATTCTTGACTGACAAACTATATAGAAAAATATAAAATACTAATCCAATGTGAGCAGCAATAATGGAAAGATCCATAAACCTTGCATCAAAATAACATAAAATTTAATTTTATGTTTAGGAAAAAGCCCATTCTAAGCTGTAGGGCAGAGATACTTAACCCTCAAATAGCTGCTTTACTGCAAATAACAACTGCAGGAATGATTTTTAATCACAACAGTACCTATCCTTCCTCCCCATGCACACGCCAATTCATCCCAACAAGGAGAGAGATGAATAAAAAAGACAAATGCTGAAAACTGTTATTTTTGTGCAGAACATTTAATAACAAATTTGATCTCCATTTACCAGGGGCAAAGGAAAAGTTCTGCATTGCTTTTCACCATTAAAGTTACTTAAAAAGTAGCCTACTACTACTTTAAAATCAAAATAAGATGTATGAATTTCATGTTTGCTTATGTCTTCATCACTAAACAGTGTTTCAAATTTTTTATGAACACTGCATATCAACTCCAAGTGTTCTGTTCTAAAGGAATTTAGGTGTAACAGGAATTAGACTACAAAAATTCCCAAGTATTTTTCAGGTGCTTATAATCCCAAATAATTTCACTACTTTTGAAAATTTCAGATGCTGTCTGGCGTAGTGCACAAGATTCTATCTGACGAAATACATAAATAAATTACTAACAACGTAAAGCACACCTGTCCCTTATCCCTTCTCTCTTATAGTGCCAACTTCTGCTGATGCTGCTGTCCAGAAAGTCTCTCTCTAAGGCAGTGCAGAAAACACTGAAAAGCCCAGCAGGGAGAGAAAGAGGAAGAGAACGGACAACAATTCTCCGTACTTTACTCTCCAGTCCTGTGTCTCATATATCAGAAATATATGAGAAATAACAATATTCTGTATACTTTTCAAACAGGAAATACAGTCTAAAGCTGAAAAGTATCCCTGGTGTACTTTTATGAATTCCTCGTATTACACATACAAAAACTATGAAGATTACAACAGATAAATATGTGCATACATATATGTGTATATATATATATATTAGAAACTCTAAACAGTAAGTTGCACTGATGTAGATGAGCAACATCCATCCATATAGACTTGTGCCACCTGGCTGTTAAAATGATTCCTTTTTATCTTATGCCCCAAAGACCACCTTCACTGAGATCAGGAGTCAGCCTCCTTTGCTGATAAATCATTTCTGTATAAAGCTACCCAAAGGTACTGCCCTGCTCCTGGTAAACCAAAAGAAAAAAAAAACCACAAAACAAACAAACAAAGAAACTAACCCAAATTACAGTTCCCAATTCCTATCTTGGAACACACATATGCAGCTCTCCTTCCCAGTTGATAAAAAACAACCAAACAAAACCAACAAATCCAAACCCAACACAAGCCACAAGTAAACAAATAAACAAAACTAAACACACCAAAAAAATCAAATCAAAAGAAAACCAACCCAACTCATAACTTTCCACCTGAAGGATGCCATATTGATCTTTGGTATGGACAGTAGCCTTCAGATTCCTAATAAGCTAATTAAGTAACATTCTTATAGATACTGAAGGAAGAACCAGATCAGAAAATGCTTCATCTAAGAGGATACAAACTCATACTAGACTGTTCTCCTCTAAAAAGCTGAAAAACAGAGAATATAAAATCAGATAAGGAAAAATTAAGGATTGAGATGCAACAGTAGATGAGTTAAAAGTGACATTTTAAAAAATTATTAAAAGCAAAAGAAAAGGCACACACACAAAGATAATAGCAGAGCACAGAGATGTCTTTTCTTGAATTGTTGGATACCAGAGGAACACCTGAAGCTTTTGAGAGGACTGAAAATGGAGTCATCCTTTGGAAGATGACTGCAACTTCATAAAAATTGGCAAACATGATTAGAATCACTAGCTCTTTCAGATGATAGAAAAGAGACTCTAAATCAGTCACAAACATTTCATTGTTTTAAAAAATGAATCATAGGAAAAAGGCTCAATGAAATAAAATTTCAGACTTTGGCTCAACTCAGTCAAAATCGAGCATGGAATTGACTGTAAAATTTTAATAGGGTGTTTTTCAAAAGGAAAATATTTTGTAATAGAACGCTGCGATTTACTGAATGAAGGCCATGTATCTCCAAAGTAATCTGAGATGACTGAAGTAGACATAAGAACTACTAAGTAGATATGAATGAGATATAAGACCTCAAGATGGTCCCTTTGATGAATCTTACCTTAAAGACCAAAACCAGAATTTTGTGGGTTTGAATTGTATTTCAGTTGAAAAAAGAAATATTTCTATGTCTCATTTTTGGAGTTTTTTTCAGAATGACTCATTTGTCTTTACCCAGCCACTATGAGTTCTCTGTCTTATATCCAACTTTGTCAGTTTGTACCCTTCCGAAACTAATTTCAATCATGCGCATTACCTGTTTTCCTCTTCATCAATGAAGAACATATTCCCTAAAAACGACACTGGCCTAGATGATCTGAAGCTCATATGACAAATTAGTTCCTTATTTGTGCCATCTGATGAAGGAACAATATCTTGTCCTTTTGGGAAGTGCACAGAAAAAGGGTAAATCCTGTCACCATCTTCGAGTTCAAGCTCTGGAAGTTCAACTCGAATTCGTGATTGCCTGTGTTAAAAATAAATAGTAACGGTGTTTGTGCTGACAGTTTGACAGTAATAAAGTTGATTCACAGATTCACACATTTACAAAATTGCTTTTCACAGTTAAATACAGAAGAATAACTTCAGTTTTGAAGCATAAATCAAATGAAACTAAAGAATTAAAATTCCTTTAGAATTTAGATGCTGGTTTGTTTTCTACATACGTATCTGAACATTTCATACTGACCCACAATAGTTCAATATTTAAATGCAGAAGAAGAGCAATTTTCACCAACTGTGCTACAAAGAGCATTAGTATTACTTCCTTACCTTAGGTTTCCTACACTTTAAACTTTCATTAATATTGATAAAACTGCAATTATTGCATAACAAGTTAGAGTAAGTTTTAAAACAGAAATATGAAGGGGAAATTCATACAGATACTTAAGATGCATACATAATTTTAGGTTCCAGTTCTGAAATAATAATGGGCAGTCAGTTCAGGTCCATATGGAATTCTTTCCGTTACAAAAAAATAGACAAATCACTTGACAAATTACTACAATTCAGATGAGATAAGACAATAAATATTTGAAGGTAAATTTCATCTCATTATTTTATGGCAACTTAAGAGAGTTCTGTAATAAATGTATTCTGAGATATTTACCTTAAATAATCTTTTGGAATTATATTGATGGCTGTGTCTGTTTTCACATCCAGAGGAACTGGCATCAGTATTAAAAAGGGGGGATCAAAATTTATTTTTGGTGACTTCACAATGCCAGACAATGTTATTTTGTAGTGCGATGGATTGTCGTTTAGACACACTGACATTTCAGATGAGTATGTCCCAGGACAAGCTGTTGAAAAGGTAGTAAAAAACAACAACAACAAAAAAACCAAAACAAAACAGAAATTTATATTACTATAAATACATGCAACTAAAAGAGTTATAGTAAGAGATTTTGGATGGCGGGTTTTTTCTTTGTTTTGTTTTCTTGAGTTTTTTGAGGGAGAGGATGGTAAAGTCATTGGTATTTTCTTACTCAAAAGGTAGCTTAACATACACTAAATGTATCAAAAGCTTTAGTAAGAAAGCTTAGAACATTTGCTTGTAGTAAAGAAGAAACTCATACTTTTTTAATTTATCAAAAAATTTTCAAAGTCTTCTTAATTTACTGTATTAATATTACTTTATACATAGCACCAATGCAATGCTTCTCAGAATTCTAAGAATTGCATTCATATTATAAATTACACTAATTAACACAGAGAATGCTAATTTTATAAAGGAATAAATATCAGAAGCATCTAACTGCCAAGAAAAGAAGTTGTTGCCTTTTAAGATGGCAATGCTACATTTCAACAGATGACTAAAACCTACACTCGGTCTCCAAGTCAGCCCCACACAAGCCCAGAGGACAGGTTCTACTCCCCACTGCAAGCATCTCTCATTTCCTTGTGTTCTGCTCCTTCTCATGTGACCTCACTAACGGCTGCAAGACAGTTTGCTCCAAGATGGAAAAGCACATTTTCTTTCACTGATACATGCATCAAGGTGCTTCCCTTCCACAATTATTACACCATCAAAAAAGTCTTCCAAACAATGCAGTGTCACCAAATTTTCCATCATTCCCACCTGCTGAAGAGCTAGCAAAATAAACAATTTTTGAGGGCCAACTACCACTTCTTGTATTTAGAAAGAAACCTGTATGACGTGTTGTAAGACAACCCAAAAATTTTAATCTTTTCATTTTCAAGAAAAACACTTTTCATTTTGATTCCCCTCTGTCGTCAGACTTACTAATCTCTCATCAGGTTAGTAAGCAGGGACACATCTTCACCTAATATTTAAGGAGATAGATAGAAACAAATAACTTCATAATTTTTATGTCTGCATGACCACACGTGCCACTGCAAACAAAATACATGTAACAAGCTCTTCTGATTAGCTCAAACAATTATTTTCACAGTCTAAGAGTTGCCATTGTTTATATACTGAAAGAAAAAAGTCTAATGTCTTCAAAATATCTTGTTTTTTCCCTTCTCATAAGATCCAGTTTCTTCATGGAGATAGTAATAGAGGAGCTTCACAGAAGCCTACTAGCTCACCAGAACATAGCCTGCAGATTCCATTCATTTCAGACTAGAAAGCATTAAACTGGCAAAGTGGAAAAAACAGATGAAAAGGAACTTCCTGCAGTGTTTGCAACATCTGGCTATCTCCCTGAGAAAGGGAAATCAGCTTTAGGAGACAATACTCCTGAGAAGGCTAAGAAGCCTGTGTATTGGGGTTTGACACAGCTAGGATACACCTTTTCTTGCACTTAACCCTTTTATGAGGGAATAGTGAGAGAGCATCAGAAAAGGTCATGGAAATCTATCAAGAGCCACACAGTATACCTTTGACACATTTGTGAGAAAATATATTCTACACAAGTTACTTTCATATATGAGCTAGACTGTCTACTGTCCTACAGTTGTGCTCTAACTTAACCATATTTCTGTATCCTATCTTCACATACAGTAAAGTGAAAGGTTATAACCGATAAATATCATAAAGATACAGTACCATCAAGGAAGAAAACTAGAAGAGCATATGTCAGTATCAAAGAATATGTAATTTTCACTAACTCACATTTTAAAAGCTTTATATTAACCCTAGTTCCAAAGTTAGACCTCGAAAAGTTAGGAGATAAACAGTGTTAAGCTTCTTCACACAAATTTTCATCCATACTGTACATAACACTTCTAACAAATCAACTGCATGATCACAGTTGTTTGTGACAGAATCCCTGACATGGTGCAAAAGGCAGAACAGACAGCGTTTACTCTGTGTGTGGCTCCACACACTTACTAACATCAAAATTCTGACTAATATGTTACCCAATAACTCACTGCTTATGTAAGAAACACCAGGATGTTTCAGTACTGTCCTCACTTTAAACAGACACAAACACAAAAAACGTGAATTACTCATTAAGTTTTGTTCATTAGCTTGTAATTCCTAGGGCAAATATTTTCAGGATATTTCATGGTAAACAAATTAGAAACATAGAATCACAGAATGGTTTGGGTTGCAAGGGACCTTGAAAATCATCAAGTTCCAAGCCACCTGCCATGGGCAGGGACACCTCCCACTAGACCAAGTTGCTCAAAGCCCCATCCAGCCTGGCCTGGAACACTTCCAGCGGTGGAGCATCCACAACTTGGCTGAGCAACCTGTTTCAGTGTCTCACCACCCTCACAGAAGAGTTTCTTGCTAATATCTAAGGAGGTTGGATTAAATGATCTCTAAGGTCCCTTCCAGCATAGGCCATTCTATGGTTCTATGATTCTAAATCTACCCTCTCTCAGTTTGAAACCATTATGCCTTATCCTAATCCTACACTTCCTGATAAAGAGTCCCTCCTCTTCTTTCCTGTAAGCCTCCTTTAAATATTTGCAGGCTTCTATAAGGTCTCCCTGGAAACTTCTCTTCTTCAGGCTATTAGAATTATGTCCTGAACTAATAGCCTAAGTCATCACTTTATTCTGTTAATCACAAAATTCGTGAGTATTGTCAAAGCTTTTGCTACTGTTACCATTCTGATATGGCATCATTAATTTCTACAGGGCAAACAACAAGCTGTCCAGCAAATGTGAAAATTTTCCTTAGGGAAATTTGATGATATTTACAGATCTGGCAATCTAAATTTGCTAAAGGCAAATTAAATGCAAAATTTCCTGTTTGTCTTTCCTAGATATATTTATTAGGGGAAATAAGCATTCATTGCCTTACCTTAGAAAAAACTCTGAAAAGAACACAACTTCTCAAAATACATATGTGCATATATTCATTAGCTGCTTCATTTTTGGTCTAATTTGTACTAGAAAGCCCATTCAGTTCAGAGTGCCTAACTCTCCAGCGTGCTACCCTGAGACTTTATGCAGATTCTTTGTTAATAGAAACATAAACAAATCATATTTCTGCTGAAAGTCAATTTTACACATATGCAAGTTCTAACAATACCATTCACACACTTCCAGAGAAATACTTCAAGTCTCCACACCTTCCACTGTTTCAGATGCAATTTAATTTAGCAGCAAAAGTTAGCTCAGATGGCCACCTCTTTAAGGATGCCCATACTCATTTTCCTCTCTAGCAGCACAAATCTAAGTTTTGGTTTATTATTTTTTTCCCCAGAAATCTTAACTGTATAATAGCAGACTTTTTGATCTTTTGAGAGTGTGTGAGAAGAAAGTAATATCACCATTTGCTCTTGTCACTCCCTTAAGTTTGTATTAGATTGTTAATCAGGTCCTACACTTGCCTCCCAAACAAATATTTTTAGTTTAGTTGCCCTGGACTTTCCAGTAATTCACGCCTTATTGCATATAGATGCTTTCAACATAAATGGGTAACAACGAAGGATTTGCATACATTGAAATACATATTTCAGAAAAGTCACAAGTAGTTAGAACTTACAGATAAGCCCTACAGAAAACAAACAAAAAAAACCCAAAAGTAAATTTATCATTTGTCCACTGTCCACTGAACCTGTTAAAGGTCATAGTTATTCAGTATCTTACTGTTGCAGAAAAAAAAAAAAAAATCTAGAAGATGGAGGTCATGACGATCACCTGTGCCCACTGCACAATCATCACGTCTTCCAGGGCACTGAACTGGTAACTCACGGGTGCATTTGTGGGTGTTTTTCCACATGGAATCCAAGAACACAGGTTTATTGTGACTTACTTGTTGCAGATAAGTTTTTTTTCATATCATAACAAGATATAGTGAAATTTTTCATGTACTGTTAATGTATTAAACTATAGTCCAGCAGAAGAGGATTTAGTATACTTTTTTCACAGGTAGCATCACGTTACCACGCAATATATAAACTCTTGAGTTTGATTTAACACTGTAGCATTTTGCACTCTCATTATTATAAATGTTGCAGCATATTTAAACAAATTACTCTAATGCACTCTCAACGTTCATCCTGAGGTTTGTTCACCCTTGCATAAGACAACTTTACAGCACAAACTTATGAAGGTGATTAGCACACCATATTCATCAACTAGGTCTCCTGTGGGGTTTTTGATGTATCTAATGTTCTCTTACAAGAAGGAGCAATTATATTCAGTGAATGTATAGTACAAGCAGGGTATAAATCATGGAAAAATACTTAGAACATCTAATTAAGAGCAATTGATTTTTACAGTTATATACTACAATATTCTGTAAATAAAAGATATGGGAATATAGTAGAAATACAAATAACTTCAAATGATAATTGTCTATCCTGTCATATTTACATATATACACATAAGCATTTACAGACACAATTTATACATTAATTCAAAATACTGGATTTTGTGTGCTGTTCTCTGCTTCACAGCCTTCGCAACACGCAGGCAATTTTAATATGTTGTCATGATGTAAACAGCTAAATAGACCAACCATCATACAGATGATCATTTTGCTTATTCATTAATCATATGATCCCTCTCCAGCTGTTGCACAGAATAGCGTTAGAAAATTTTCCCAAGTTCCCTCTGTCTTAAACACCAGAGCAGTACTTCGAAGAAAAAGATGCAACCCTCTGCTCATCCATGCCATAAAAATCATCAGATATCTGGAATTATAGATTTATTTAATTTTATCTTCCAAGTCTAATATTGCCCTGTGCAATTTTCTTTTTCAAGGTATATTTGTTAACCTAACCAATTCAAAACACAGCTAATATATCTCTTCTAGATGAATATGCTTCTCTAATTCAAAGCACACTAAAACATTTGCGTTCCTCATAAGTGATTATTTTAATATGATCCACAACTATTCTAACCATACGCACACTCTGCAAAAGTATCTATT